TTCCCCCGCCTGTCAGTTCCAACCCCCAACCCCCCAACTACCAACCCCCAACCACCCGCAGCGGGGCCCCCAACCGCCGGGACCTACCTGCTGCTGGCGGCCCACTGCGAACCTGTCCGCGCACATCTCCGCACAGCTGCCCATGTGGATGTTGCCGTACGGGTCCCACAGACCGTCCTTGACAAGACCGTCCACAACGGAGCCGTCGCCTGAACATCAGTGAACATCAACAACAGGAAACATCAGCACGACACAATAACAAAATATCATCAAAAAGAGCTACATCACCAGCGGCCCCCCCCTACTACCACCGCTACCACCGCACACATGGGCCCTCGCTCTGTCACTATGCCACAACAAACCTGCTCCCCTTCCTCACCCAACTAACCCACCTGCCCTGTCCTTCCCACGCCTTCGTCTTATTGCCCGCGGCGCCGCAGCGCCCAGCAACACCCGCAAACACCACCTCACAGCATCACCACCACCTACGCCGTTTCCCTCATCGCGGATCACTAAAACCACTAATCACAGCGCCTTTCACAGCACCAAGGGGCACATCGCTTTCTTTTGGCTTCTGGAGTACCTCTTTTTGACGCGAGCTTCTGCCGTCCGCATTGGCCTCCTTACCGAAGATTAAATCATTACACGAAACACGTACACGCAACCCCCCATATACACACACGCACGTACCAACCCCTTCCCCCCAGACACCCACCCAGTCTCAGGCCCTTCCTGGCCCCAGGCAGGTAATGTGGGGCGTTACTCATGCTCTCCATGCCGCCAGCCACAATGACGTCAGCAGAGCCTGAACGCAACCGGGTGTGGGGTTGGGGCCGGGGGGGGGGCCGGGGGGGGGGAGGGTTGCGCGGTGGGGATGAAACGGGGGTTGGACTTGGAGGAGACTCTTCCTCTTCCTCTTCGCCCCGCACTCTTCTAACCACCCAGCCACCGAACCCTAACGACAAACGACTAACAACCTATTCCGCCGCGGAAACCTCACCCGCCATGATCGCCTGTGCCGCCAGCATCACCGCCTTCAGCCCCGAGGAGCATACCTTGTTCACCAGCGTGCAGGGGGTGCTGGGGGGGAGCCCGGCACCGAGGGCCGCCTGGGTGGCGGGAGCCTGATTCCGCAGGGGGAGGGAAAGGAGGTGTGGGGGGGTTGAAAACCCACACGCTCACACTTGGTGGGCGAGGAAAAGGGTGAAACGCACAAGGGGGTTGTCGGTGACGTGTCCAATCGATGCGGGCTTATATCTGTCTGAGGATTTGACAGCAGCAGACAGCACCTGCAGCAGCAGGAGGGTCGCACCTGGCCGAGGTTCGCGGATATAACATTGCCAAAGATGACCTCATCGACATCTTCCGGCCGCACACCAGCCCGCTCAAGGGCTCCTAAAAGTGGAACAGGGGCACCATGATATCATCCTAGATTTGTTGAGGAGGTAAGGACACCAAAGGTAGAGGAAATAATAGAATTCTGTCGAGTTCATAAAGTTCTTACTAAGAGGCAGATTCTATCGTTGGCTGCATAAGCGTGACACAGGACGGGCGTGAGTTAGGGCATCAACTAGTCTACGGGTTGAAATAAGCCTGACATACTTTCATGAGATCGTAAGGGCATGCAGTCAATTCCACTCAGCCAATCCATTATAAGAGTAGAGAAACGTCGGCACCGCCTAACTGTTCCGGTACTGTCACAAGCTGTAATTCGATCAAGAAAGGTGCTTTACTTCTCTCTGGGATTGCAAACACATTTCAGTAGCCACAGCGCAAGGCTCACCGCGTATAGCAAACGCCCCAAGCTCCATTGCGGTATAAGATGACAAAGCTCCCTGGAAGGCACCTAAGGGTGTCCTTACAGCGCTAACAATGCAAGGAGTCCGTGGCGTTAGGGCCGCCATGTTTTCCGACATTAGGGCACCAGGTGGGTTGCAGAGCGCGGCGACCAACTGCAAATCGAGTGGTTACCGCAGAGCTTGGTAACACGTTTATGTTCACGTACATACTCCAGAGGGTAAAGTTCCCAATTACTCATACCTCAAAGGTCACGTCCTGCCCTCGGACTTGTGTCTCATTCCGACCGTTGGTTCGGTAAACATCTGTACCTGCCTGCATGTCACGAACATAACGCACTTTGCAACTTGTATGCTTGTCCCCAATCCAGTACTGAAGGGATTACGCTTGCTTGTAAACTGAAAGCGCCAAATCCTCGAACTGACAGTTGTCCAAAAACACCTTTCTTCCTTTCTCTTATAAATAGCTCGATTCGTTAACGAACATCTTTCGTATTCCTCAGTTTCACTGCCTACCCCCGGGGTAATTGACCTTGAAAGCCGCAAGAGTGACTTCAACCAGGGTTAGGTCCAAACCTCACCCAGCCAAGCGTCAACGAACATGGGCAAAAAGAAGGCGTTCATCAACAAAAAAAAAGCCGTCACCTACAGCTTGGTTTACCGTGACCCCTCCGAAGACCCGGACGGCGAGGATGGCGGCCAACGCGTCCTCGCGCCTGTCGGAGGCCCTCGCGGGCTGCATCATACATCAGACGATTATTCCGATACCTACGAGTACGAGGACTCGGTGTATGACTCAGAATACACCTTCTCCATGTCCAGGTACGGTGCGATGCCATGCGGATTGTTGCAGCTACGCCGCCACTGCTATCCACCAGCCAGTCGTGCAACTATGGTGATAACAAACAAGCCTTTCGACGAGACACAAGGACCAGTTTCCATAGAATGGGGAAAGGGGACAGGGAATAGCCCCCGGGATAGTCCACGAGAAGTAAAAGAACAAAGGACAACCTTCCCGAAACTCTCCCCCTCACACACATCCCTCCGCCAAGCCACCAAAACAGGTCTCCGCCAAGCCTTCCTCGCAGAAAACCCCCACTTCAAGCCGCCCCGCCCCTCCCCTCCATTTTCAATTTCCACGTCTTTTTCCGCACCCAAAGCCAAGTCCAATCCCACCCCACACGCACCCAAACACGTCCCTTCCCTAACTAACCGCCACCCCGCTGAGCCGCAGGAGCGCCGCTGCCCACCATGACGAGTCGTACACGCTGAGTGAAGAGCGCCGTCGGGAGCTGCTGGCCCTGGGTTTTCCCGACGACGGGTATGACTACCTGAGGCATCTACGCGACCTCGGACGGGGCAACCAGCAACAGTTTCCCCACCGGGGGGGAGCAGCAGCAGCAGCAGCAGCGGGGGGAGGACGGGTAAGACTAGCGGGCAGTCTAGCTGCTTGCCTAGCTGCGAGGAGATGATAGATAAGGACCCCAAAGCGGCGGAAGCCGGGGGGGGTCCCAGGGGGGGGATATCGGTAGACCTTACACAGCTGGCAGTGTGTGTGTATTGAAAAGGGGGAAATAGGTGTGATGTAAGGTGGGGAGAGGCCGGGTAAGCAGTACTAACGTGTACGTGCAGGGGCCTCCCTCGAAAGTTGTGTGTGTGGGGGGAAGATCTGCGGTGTCAGACCAGGAAACGGCAGGGCAACAACGGACTTCCCCTCTCCCCCTCTCTTGCCCTGGCAGCAGCTTCACTCGTTTGTGGTTCGTCTATCCCCCTCCCCCCCTCTCCCTTTCGGTCAGTTCTACTCCTGGTACAATTTTGCCCTGGCAGCAGCTTCACTCGTTTGTGGTTCGTCTTTCCCCCCCTCTTCCCCTCTTCGTCACCTACCCTCACCTGCCATCATCTCATCGCTATCGCCGATCCATATACCAGAGGTGAAGGGTGGAGGGAAAGAGGTGTGAAGAGGGAGGGGGACGGTTCTCTGCGCATAGAGGGGGAGGTTTCTCTGCGTAGTAGGCGAGAGCAGGCAGCGTCTGTCAGCTCCCTTGTGTCAACAGGTCCTTTGCTTTGTTTCACGCTGGAGCTCGTGGTGCGAGATAGTGCGGACAGATCACTCAGGTCAGCTGCTCACAACATCAGGCGTATAAAGGAAATTACCACAAACAGGGACTATCATTCAACCGATGGAAACCCTTATCACTCGCGCCTCCTCTGCCGCCGCCGCCGCCCTCTCTTCCTGCACATCAAGGGCAACTTCAATGTCGAGCACACGACGGCTGCCATCTGCCAGCGCTGCAGCTATCGACACCACATCGCGGAACACCGTAATCGCCATCACAGCACCCAACGAAGAGGAGCGACGCCACCTCCTCATCTTGTTGTACGACATCAGCTGTGCTGCAATCCCGCCCTCTCCGCACGGATATGGGGGAACCCAACACGCACTGAGCCGAGCCCTCCGCCCAGCCGTCTGCAAAAGGTTCATCATTTCTTCCCCCTCGCGTGTGTGGGGGGAGGGCGGCGACTAACCGGCTAACCCCATCTTTAAATCGTGTACAGGGAGGGCCGTATACACGCGGAAATACGCCCCAGAAGGGATGGGGGGATGAAGAAAATCACTCTCCAGCAATCTTCAGCACACAAAACACACCCAGCCACCTACCTGTGGACTTGAACATTCACAACGCCTGCACTGCCATGTATCATTACCACACTTTTCATTGAACGTCGTACAGGTCGGACATGGCTGAGCAGGTTTCCCACCACCACCCCCATGTCAGGCAGGTGCCAGCCGTCCTCACGTTCAACAACATGTGTCTCCTTGCGGCGGTACAAAAAAGCCACTTCGTTCCCTACAGCGCTCTCTCCACTTCGCTCTTTACGCAGCTATATCTCTCCTCTTCCTTGCATGCGGTCATGAGGGCACAGGGACTACGGTAGCAGCAGTGGACGTCGCGCTGAGATGCCGTCAAGTGTACGGCGTCCACACGTCCAGCTGCAATATCAACTCTCCAGCAAACCTACAGCTACAACAAGGAATCCTACTACTTGCCTTATTCTTACCAGATGAATTATTGCTATCCTGCCACATGGCACCCTGCTAATCTCGGCCCAAATGAATCCACCCTCCCATAACTCAATCAACTAAGGTTGCTCCCGTGTGCACCTTTCCGTGTGCGCCACCCAAACCCCATGCCTCACCCTTTCCATCTCGGTGCTCAGCTCAACCTCTAGTCGCATAACCCGCCAGGTGAGACCAGGCCCTAGCCGCGCTAATAGCTGCAGGGCCCCTGCATACAGCCGCGGCTAGCACCAACAGCCGCGGATGCAGCCGCTCTGCTGCCACTCTGCCTTACTCGCCAACGTCTTCGATAACACCCATCACCTGCCAGGCCTTTCGTTGCCTTCCCCCCATGCTCCGAGAGAGAGAGAGGCAGAAGTCAACTTGAGAAGAGTGGGAAGACAGTCGACAAGCAGTAAGCACAACCGTGTGCTGATCCCGTACATGCCTCATCACACGTGTACCATGAATGGGGACTGTGGGGCCTGCAGCTATGAGGACAGACATACACAGGTGGTGACATTGCACGAGCCCACCTGCTTACCTTGCTATCCGCGGGCTGCTCCATGGCCAACACGTCTTACAGTCATATCCCCGCAAGCCACTCGTGCGCCAGTGCGCCCCTAGCATCCAGCTCCCGGTTAGACAGTGCGCGCTTGAAGGCCACACCGCTGGCGCTGAGCTCGAAGGGCAGGTAGGCCAGAAGGCGGTGCGACACGAGGCAGAGGTCCGAAGCGCGCGTGTAGCGGCCATCCACCGAATCCAGGATGGGGTTGAACTCCGGCCACGTCGCCAGGGGAAAAGGTGACTGGCGGCAGTCCTGAGAGCTGTCAGCCCGCCCTGTTGGCACAGCGACCGCAACGTGGGCATTACTTTACCCCTCATCATGACGAACGGCAGGAGCAGGGGACAAAACGACAATACTGCGGGAAGGCCCGCTACCATAGACAGGAGACGACCCTGTGCCTGGAGGCTGTAACACTAATAGTAGTAATACATTCCAATTAAGTCGAGACCGACTCGTACATTTTCATTACTTCATCCAAAAATGACGGACAGCTCTTAAGTTCGGAAACATAGTATCTGAATTTATACAATGCAATGAGGGGCCATGGATGGTCATTGAAAGGTCACGCCTGTGAGTCAACGCGGCATAGCAGCGTATATGACTGTTCAAACACAGCAAAATATGCACAGGCCAACGAAAAACAGCAAAGCAGCAAAATTACTAAGAAATACTCTTAGTGACACTGTTGCTAACACTGTTGGGACACTGGTGCTAATGTCGGTCACACACCGGCGATGGTGAGTTTGTGAGTGGACTAGTTGTAACTTGCGGGGGAGTCTGGGGCCCCCGGAGGCCCCCCCAGCGCCTCACAGCTAGGTAGTAAACCGCACAAAACCCTGGAAATCTAATATTTGATGATAAGTAGAAAAGGGACCCTCAGGCCCTAAACGAAAAAAACACTGGGCTGTAATTGAAAAGCCACCCACCGGCATGCTCCAAATCCATCAGGATGAACCTATCCGCCACGTTGGGTGCTGAGCCTGGCACCATGATCACATTGCCCCAGTGAATGTCTCGGTGCACGAAGCCTGCACGAGGAAAATCATAAGGCCAGGGGTAGTGGTAGCGGTAGTGGTGAGCAGTAATACCAATAGCAAAAATAGTAATAGCAGCAATACCTGCCTCACCATCAGTGTATACACACACACACACCTGCTGCATGAGCGCCTCAATGCCAGTGAGCACGTCCCGAATCGCCTGCTTAAGGCTGGCCTCGCCCCCAGGCGGCCCGTACTGCGGCACACCGTGGGGCACCAAGTGCAGCACCAGCGTCCCGCCGTCCAGGCTGATGGCATCAGGTGTATGGAGACGTACAAGGTTTGGGCACTGCGCCAGCGTGGCATTGGTGTACAGCTCCTGTGAATGGGTCATGTAACCAGAGGTTTGCATGTCAGCATGCTATGTAGGACACCATGCTGACTGTTCAGGGCCCAGCAGGTGATGTGTACCTTGAGAAGGCTGAAATCGTTAACACCAGAATGCTGCTCCTCGAAATTATAGACACGCTTCTGTACAAAATCTGCAAGACATGTACATACGGCGGGTTTCATTAGGCCGAATTATGATGGCTGCCAGTGTCTACATGACTGGAACCCCGCAGCACCTTCAAAGAATCTGACGGTCCGGAGGAGCTCTCCACGGTAACCCATGGATTGAATCTCGCTTCCGAGGGCGACCGGAATCTTAGGCGAGTGTGGCGCGTACGATGCCAGCAGGCGCACGATGCAGTGCAAGGCTCGGATGCGCCCCAAGGGCGTGCTCAGATCGTAGAGACTGCTGATTGGGCTCAATTCAACTTTACCACTGGAAGAAAAAAAGAACACCGTCAGGCACAGGGGGCAGAAGTTTCCCTATGGACATGAGTGTAGGTGCATCTATGTATTGAGGAGTGACTGTAGACCATCTATTGTCAGGCAGATCTGTTGTACCATGGCACGTTCTGTAGACCAACCTATACAATAAACATATGTTACGATCAATTTCTCAGTGCTATCTATTGTAGGATGACCCTGTCCGACATCGTCTAGAGCCCTCATACTTCATCCATACCTGTTCCGGATGGAAAAAAACTGGAGCATGGTACCAGCAGCCGCGTAGGCTATCATGCACGGCATGCTGACGCCAGGCAGCAGCTCTGGCACCCTGGTGGGGTGAACATGACAAGCATCAGACCAGCCCCACGGCTCTCATACCAGCTGTTGTGCTTGCACTACCACGTACCACGTGCGTGCCATCTTGTCCGATAGCTCTTTAATAGCCACCTGTAAACATGTGGCAGAAAGGAAAGGAGCAGGGGTCAAGGGGCTCAGGGGCGCTACAGGGTTATGCTAACTTTGCTTGCATATGCCTGCCCAGGTTAAGTCCTACCGGCATGCCTGATGCCGATGCCTTATCCTCGCCCTTAAATACTAGGGCGTTATTTATCCAGCAGACGTAGTCAGGCCGTTTCCGTTGAACTGTGGTTATAGGGGGCGATGAGGCACACGGACATCACCAGGAGTGCGGGGCCGTGAAACAGATCAGTGCAGCAACCAGAACTCTCATTGTGGGTGACTATGGCGCCAAAGCTTTGCACTATTGACCCGAAAATATGTGGGGTGGTTAATGGGGACATCAGGACATCAAAGGGGAAAAGGGGAAGTAGTCGAGAAAGGTTTCGTTGCACCCCTCTTCACAGCAGTCCACCAACCTACCTGTGGCACCAGATGTGTCCTTCACGTTGCGGTCCTGAGACATGTTCAGGTTGAGGGCACGTGCGGCGAGCTCAAGCGGCATATCCACGACATGCGCAACCTGGAAGGCAGTTTTATACTCTGATGTGCCGCCTGCAGATCCCCCGATGAGTGCCAATTCGACAACGGTCGACAGAGCATGTGCAGTTTAACGGCATCTTCGTCCAGGGTGATGTAGTCCGTGATGTCGGCATTCTGCTGGATGATGCCAAGCCTTTTGTGCACTGGCAGCTTCCGAGCCAAGGGCCCTTCCAGGAAGCTTTGGAGGTCTGTTGCAGCCGGCACAGAGCCCAGTGATAGCCGTGATGACAGTGGTGGCAGCATCTCCCGGATGTAGCGGTAACTTGTGTCGGTTTCATAATTAGCTGCAGATAGAGCACAACATGGCATTAGCACTCAATCCCTGCTTACAAAGGCAATACGCAGCATTACGGGCCTCATATATTGCACTCACCGCTGGCTCCAACTTCCACCACACCTGCAGATGGGGGAGGATCAGGGAACCCAAGCCAATGCATGTTAGATCCGATATTTAATATATTACCCAGCCACCTCATTGCAGGTACAGCTGCCTGGGTTTATCCCCCTTGTAACACATTACCGCCCTCTCCTATCCAGATCCAGAGTATGTTGACTCATCGCAACTCAGTTATCCCGTTTGGGTGCTAGTCTGGGCCGATAGTGCGGTGTTTCCTTTTCTCCACGGCTTTTAGGCGTTCAGGTAATGCCCTTGGGCCTTCGGCTCGTATGGGTAGTTTTACAGGTATGGGGTCATGCAACCCCCAACCATGTAACACACACACACACACACACACACACACACACACACACACACACACACACACACACACACACACACACACACACACACACACACAGATCCAGAGTAATCATATATAGCATCACCCAGAGAGAGGCCGCATATGTATGTGTAGGAACTAATTCCCCGGGTTTTCCCTAGGTTATGATTACCAAGGAATCAGCCCGTTTTTGTTGTCGTGCGGGCAGTGGGGGTATGGGATGGTGTCCCTCGTGCGGGATCGGGGGGCACTTTTCCGTCTGTCTAGAAGTCTTCACCGTTGCTAGTGTATCACGGGTTTTTCGGATTCGTGCATTTTCGTGCAATATGGAAGGGGCTGTCTGAAACTGGTACTGATAAAACAACTAACTTATACTGCAGTAAAGCTAATATAGCCCATATAGATAACGGAATGTACAGTAGGGACACTGCAAGGGGACGCGCAAGCCACCAGCTACAGTAACCTACAGCATATTTACTGAGCCCGAAACAGATCTCAGCTAACGTGTTGCGACTGGTGGCGGCCCTCATGTCGTACGGGCCGTACTGCTTCTGTCGTAGGTGGCGCTGACTATGTGGGAGCATCTGAGGTCCAACGCCAGCACGCCCTCCACCGTCATAGACCCGGCGGGAGGAGCGCAGCTGGGGCACAGTCAGGGCCGCGGCGGCGGCTGTGCGCCGAGGGGCAAGCGGCGGCGGCTGCTGGGTGCGGTAGTACACGGCGGCGGCGGCGGCGCTGTCGTCGGGGTGGACGGGCAGCAGCAGCAGCAGCCGCCGCCGGAGCAGCAGGTGGAGGAGGAGGCGGAGGAGAGCGTTGCTGATGACAGTGGTAGCAACAGCGATTGAGGGGCGGTTGAGGGATCCGGATGCGGTCTTCGGAAATAAATCTCCGCAGCATGTCTCCTCTTCGCGTCGTACGTACATGGTGGCCGTACAACATGGTGCCCATGTGGGTCAGTGGGCAGCAGTCAGTTGACGGTTGTCGGGTACTATTCTGTTGGGGGCGAGGCTCCTACGTTACAATCCTAACTTCTAAAACACTCCATTCATGCTGTTTACTTGACTTCAAGCTAATGTCAACGCATGTTGCCCCTGTGGTCGCAGTCCTTTTCCTGGGCCCGCGCCATTGTACAGCTGTGTACGGATGCTTCCGCCGCCATTGTCTGCTGCTGTTGCTGCTTCGCGGCGGCGGTGGCGGTTTATCAGATTCTTACGTCGATGCCCTTTAACCGTTTTGCCATTTCCTTGCTTGGAACGGATATGCAACAATGTTCTTTGTAACCGCTTGGGCTGCGGTAAAATATAGTGACTGAGGAGCGACTGAGACAATTTTGTAATTTTTCCTCCAAAACAAGAGGACAGGACCGGACAGGGCAGGGTAGGGGTCACGGCGAGGGGCTGAAGCAGCAGCGGCTGCAGCACTGGTCCAGGGGGGCAACACCAACAGCAGTGTTTTTCCCTATGGTGTTGCCGGTGTTCTGCTATCAGAAAAATCAGCTATCCGGCTTTTTGCGTTCTGTCTCCGTTGGCGTCTACGTTCTGGTAGGTAGGGAGGTAGGGAGGGAAATTTGAACGTATTGAGGGCACATATGGGAAGGGTTAGGTGTACGGCACTGAAGTCTACAATGCTGGGATGTGTACGGCACACGCCTCACCGGGCCACAGGCTCTGGCTAGGCAACTCTGCCTCACAGAAGACTGCAATTCATACAGAGAGCCGCGCGAGAAACGCCACACCCTAACCATGCTACCTCTCGCCACTTCACCTATGTAGTGGTTGCCAAAAAATGGTTAATTGATGCTATGCAGATAGACATAACTCCTACTCCTATTCGATGTAAATCTGCCTCTACGGTCATTTGCGATATACAACTGCCGCTACTTGGCTCCTATATATCAAATACACTGGCCAACCTACTCGCACACTCTCACGACTCTAGAATGCCAAATGAAAAGGGCAAGCCACATCTGAAGCTGGCACAGATTGCCCTTGCTTGCCTATCTGGGCGACACTTGGCAACCTGATGGCCAAACCAACTAGTGCCGCAATTCACAACTGCAACACAACATGGCTATAGGAAAGGGCTCCAGGCTGTGAATGTCTTCCGCTGCCGCCCACCTCCCTCCCTCGACCAAGATTAATACACCTCATCCAAGGACATCATCGCCCACGTTGCTGGTAAGAGCCGACCCAAAATACACTGCACAACACCGTTCGATCTTCAAGGTTGATTTCAAATTACGGGAAATGTTTCCTCATATTGTCTTACCCCATCATCGCTTCCCTCTGGCTACCGGCTTGGCACTAATGAATTGCAACACAATGGCAGCAGCAGTACACTGACGCCGAGAACGATAGAACATTTCCCCATGCTCCTGCCCCTTGGTCGTGTACTATTGTGCATTGCAAACAGCATGCAGCTGCATGTGGTGGCATTTGACTCGACAGTGGACAAGGCCAGTAGTCACATGTCATAACAATTCAATCAACCACTAACTGCTATATATTGCAGCTGTATCACTACACATACATCACTACTACACGTGGTCATTTCCATTTCAACCCGCACAACTGTTTTGCTGTGATGATGCATCAGGTGCTGCAGCGCAGGTCTTCGTAGTTGCCGCACAGAATATACAACCGGGTGTTACCTGAACGCGGATACTTCTCCCCGGTGCCGGGCGGCCAGGCAGCCTCGCCATCTTCGCCCGCCTTGCGCTTCTTCGTTGCTGCCCGCACCTTGAAGGTGTTGTAGACATCAGGGCTCACCACGAAGAAGAGGCTGGGTTTAGGGTTGTCGGGGATGCCCAGTTGCGCCAACTTCTTCTCAAGGTCAGCAGCGTTGATTTCCTTGCTTTCGGACACGGTTATCTGGAAAAGATACACCTCAGGCATCTTAACTGCGTCAATGACAGAGAAGTTGGAGGCCATGGGCCTGTAGTAAACGTTCTCAACACTGCTCACGCTGCTGATGTTGTCTTTAAACCAGCTAGTCTCTTTGCAGGGCTGGATGTCCAGCTTCTCCTCGTTGCCCCTCTCCAGAGTCTCCCGGTCCAGTGGCACCACATCGAACTTGCCACCCGCCGCCAGTACAGCATGCATAACTGGCTCGTACAACAAACCCTTGAGCCCTCCATCGCACATCTTCAGTAGTGATATCACTTTCTTCTTCTCAATTTCCAATGCTCGCTTGACAAACTCGTCAGCCGCCCAACTGCTGGCGAATCTGAGGTGCTGCTTCTTGAACTCGTCGTCAGCCACAATATGTACCAGCCGGTGGCTGGCCTCAGGTACCCTTTCGACAGCACCAATGGCCATTCTCACCTGATGGGAGAGGGACAAGAGAGGCATGCCAAGACGCAGGTGTGTTACATCTGAATGTTCAGGGAGGCGCAAGCCGCAGCCTCAGAGCTTGCCATTGAACAAGAGACATTGGCAGCAATATGGGCAAGGAGGACATAGGAGCTCAGCAGCAAAGTGATCTCTGCTGGATCGAAGGAAGAACAGCAGCAATAATAACTCAGGCAGTGAGAAACCTAGGCAGCCAACTGGAACTTCATCAAGTTCGGGGTAGAGGACTAGCTACACTACATGCCTCACCTGTTTAACGTTGCAAGTATCAATCGCGGTGCGCAGCGGCCTCAGCAACTCAAGCACCTCCCGGTCGGGGTCCAGCGACGGATGCTGCAGCACGTACCGTGCCATGCCGCCATAGTAACCGAAGAGGCCCTTCACGGTCACCTCCGGCACCATGTCGTACATCTTGCTGGGGGCATGTAGTGGTGGTGGAGGGGGGGAAAGCGAGTGGCTGTACACCACTTATACAAGGCTTTACACATGGGCGACTTTAGTCATATCAACCCTGATTCGCTGTACTACTGCGTAAATTTCAAGTTACAAACTCAAGTCTAAGAACGTTACAAAGTACTTTCAGCACTAGTTGCAGCATGCACCACGTGAGCTAGCCCTCCTCCCCACTCGCCCCACACCCAGCACCTGCGGCAGTCAAGCAGCTCCTCGAGCTCCCAGAGAGGCATGTACAGCACGTCCGCGCCTTCTTTAACTATCACCTGCAGCCCGAGGGAGGGAGGGAGGGAGAAGTACAATGAAGCACAGACGATTGCAAGGAAGGGCGACAGGCCTACGTTCTGGCCTTTCCTGGCCATCTAGTTCGTTAGGAATGGATACACTTAGGAAGCAACTAACGGACGAGTCCAGGATGCTGCATGTCGGGTGTGCGAAGTCAGCAATGGTACACCCTCTAATCACATCTCGGCCCAAGATGCTTACCTTCATCGTTTCATGCACAGGTGAGGTTAACAGCACCGTGTGCGCCGCAGTGCTGGTGTCGGGCTTCACCCCATCTGCAAAGTACCTGACAGGATAAGGTAACGAGATGTCGAGGGACAAAATGGACCCAATGAATCCAGGAGGCCCCAGGTATGTAGCAGCTGGGCAAGTGCAGAGCACGGCCTGTAAGCACATCATCCATCAGCTCCCTGTCACGGCAGCACCCAACTGCCTGCCACCCATGCATGTAGGCATAGCTAGCTAGCTAGCTAGCCAGACAGCTAGCTAGCCAGACAGCTAGCAACCATGCATGTACACACATATGTACATATATGTAATATGAAAATATAAATGTTTATGTATGTAGATGTATGTATGACTGAGATTACACTGTGGGCCGTGAGAGCCGAAGCCGAAACACCAACACACAACGCAGCCGCTCCACAGCACCTCCATCCGGGGATGGCGCTGCAGTGAAAACATGACGGGCTCTCAGGTCCCGCTAGAGCTAGTCCACAAGCCCTCTACCCCCCCCCAAAATACAACCAACGACGAAGGGAACCCAAGGGAAGGAAAAAAACGAAAAACGAAAGAAGTCGGCAAGGGCAGCCCAGGCAGGGGAGGGCTCCTGATACACCTAGCAAGCCATTACAAACTTCCAAGAAAGAAAGGTTTAGAGCACTAGAAACCACAGGACGTCTTGCAGCCAACTTACGACAACTGACCTCCTCTGGGCTGGTCCAGGGGATAAGTAACCAACCAAAGAAAAGGGACCACACACAAGCCCGATCAACACTGCAAGGGCTCAGGATAGACCAGCGAGACCACATACGGGATAACGTTGCCACAACACACAGCTCCTAGGCCCTCCAGGACACTGCAGGGGGAGGATAATTGTATGATGTATCAGTGTGCTGTGCTGCACCAGTAGAACCCACCAGGAATCACGGTTGTGAAACTGCCGTCTGAAGGCTATGTTGTTGCCGACCCAGACCTCGCCCGTCTCATGCGTGTAGCACCACTGGTGACCAGAAGGGGCAGAACAAGGAAACAAATGTAAAACAGCTCCTAGACCAGCACACCATGCAGTACAGTACATGTGTAACCCACCACTATGTCAGGCCTTGTGTGGTGCTCCCAAAGGATATAGGGTGGTGGCGACGGGCTGTGCAGCAGCCGCATTAGCAAGTAATAGAAGGAGAAACTCTTACCAATCCCAGGTGTCCCAGTAACTGCACCAAAAAACACAAGGGCAAGGGGATAGCCTTGGGCATCAAGCACGTGGAGTGAGCAATCGACAGCAGCAGAACAGACATAGCTTTACAGAGGGGCTCTGGTGCTCTGAAAAATGAAAAACCGAACCGCATTGATTGTTCTCAGAGAGTGCAGCAGGCTAGTACCAGCCACTAGCTAGTCAATTACATGTAACAAACATCAGCTGGCCCCAACCTGCACATATACATCGCAACCCACATGCATTCACAAGCCACAAATGTTGACGTTGTGATCACCAGGTGAATTGGGTCCTAGCTGTATACACCAGTCGCACGGCAGGCAACAGCAGGGAACGACGTGAGCCTCACCAACATGCTTTCGCTTCACCGACCCGTAGATGACTGTGAAGAGATTGGGATAGCATTTGCGCACATAGAGCTGCCGGTTTTCCATATGCAGGGGGAAAGACGCCGCTGCCCACGGTGAGCAGATCACCGGCACCCGGCACTGCCAGGGTACGCAGTGTAGCAATAAAACGCGTGGCGTCCTCCTCCAAGGAAATCGCAGCAGAATGACCTGCGGATGTGGGTGTTTAGCATGCACGAAGTCAGAAGGCAGGCCAGGGGGTGTTCCAATTACCATAGGATTAGGCTTTCTCCCCGGTTATGATTACCAAGGAATCAGGCCCCCTTAAATGTCATGCAACCAAAGGGGCGAACAAGAGGCAGGATACATAGCTAGATGGGCGCTCTGAGCCTTCTTTGCGTGCAGGTAGATAGGCAGGCCAGAGCCACAACACTGCCAAATCTGTTAGCGCTTCACTACCTACTGTAAGGAAATGGGGATAGAAAGCATTCAGCTCCAAGAAGTGAACGTAAAAATGAGGCGAACTCACCAGAGCTGGGACCCGGTGGCGGGACAGCAGCTGCCGCAGCTGTACATCAAACAGGGAAAACGAGGGTGCATTATGCAGGTAAGTCATTTGTCACGACATAGCAGGGGTGTGCTCTTTTGGCAAAGGAACACACAGCTGACCAACGGTTCAGAAGACCGTGCATGGTATGCAGTGTAGCGAAGAAGCTCGTGGCATTCTCGTCCAGAACCACTACTTGCAAAAAATCGGAAGGGCATGCAGCTACCAAAGCCACCAGACTCTTACCAAACACAACAATGCTCATTGGAACACAACGGCGAAAAAATGAATGCAGGTCGGTCTATAAAAATGAGCACATTCAAGCTTCGACTTCTCGAAGCGAAGTATGAGTGTAGAGATAGGCAAGATATTGTGAAGGAACTGCCGTGGTGCGTGGAAGTAGGGCGCATGCATGCATGCATGTGCCGGACCGCAGTACGGCAGGGGACGCCGAGCTCCTACTTGGGTCCCACAGGCGCATTGGTTCTTTAACTGCCGTTGTTTTGACTATTACCAAGAGGTGTGTCCCGCTGCTGGGACAGTGTCCTCTAGTTATGTGTTGCACCGTCTTTTCTTAGCATTACTAGAATCGAATATCGGCTATGGAAAATGGCGCTGCGGGCGCAGAAAGATTAGTGCTCACTCCCGAAATGCGGGCCCTCTTCGAACAGCAGCTAGCTGAGGAGCGCGAGTTATTTCGCGCGCACTCACAGCTTACTTTGACCGGAGGCTGAAGGAGCACGAGGAGCTAACCCAGCTGATGTTAGCTCAGCCCGAAGCGATAATCTTTTACAATGTGCGGAGCCGCCGGCCCTTAGCCAGCCACCCGCAATTACGAGGTTGTGCGCGTCGCCATTGAGCGCATTAACGTAATTTGAACAGCAATGGCGGATGATGCGTCCGAAGAAGGTCAGGCGTTGCTGAAAGCTGTCACGTGGTTAACCAGCCTCCGCTATTTAGCTTCCATTGCCGCTAGGAACACCACCATACATTAGGAGTTCAAATCCGTTATGAAATGTTGTTATCTTGAGTTGTGAATTCTAATGCGTACCACTTCGGTGTCGTTTATTCGAGCGTCTTTCAAACATACTGTTACACAACTACTGAATTCTCCGGCTGTCACACCCAGTTACAAATAATGTTGTACAGATCCTCGTATTCGCCACATTTCCGGGGCAAGGTTTACAACCTGCCAGGACGCTGGGCAACGGGGGATCGCATGGTCGAGGACGTCCAAATGGACGAACCACCACCATTCACTCTGGGCTCATGCGGCCAGCAGGCAGCGTGGGTGTCAACGGCTGGGCTAACGCGACAGGCTCCTGCAGCAGGCATGCAACCTACCCTGGCTCTGTCCACCGGCCCCCTTCAGGCACTGGCGGTGTGATGCGCCACAGCAACTACCGGACACCGGGCTTAACTACCACAAGTCACGAAGCCGAGAGCGCTTTCCCCAAGGTTATATCTAGCTAGTACTATCGCGCTTGGACTGCTTTCGCGGGCAGATGTGGCCGGCAGTTTTTGGACCTCGCGCATCAACTGCTTGTGGGGCTGTTCGGGCCAGGCAGTTTCGTGGACCTCGCGCATCAACTGCTTGTGAGGCCGTTTGGGCCAGGCAGTTTTCGTGGAATTGTGCATCGCCTGTGTATGTGGCCGTTTGGGCCAGGCTGTTTTGAGACTTCGCGCATCGCCTGTGTATGTGGCCGTTTGGGCCAGGCGGTTTTGGGACTTCGCGCATCGCCTGTTTATGTGGCCGTTTGGGCCAGGCGGTTTTGGGACTTCGCGCATCGCCTGTTTATGTGGCCGTTTGGGCCAGGCGGTTTTGGGACTTCGCGCATCGCCTGTTTATGTGGCCGTTTGGGCCAGGCGGTTTTGGGACTTCGCGCATCGCCTGTTTATGTGGCCGTTTGGGCCAGGCAGTTTTGGGACTTCGCGCATAGACGGCTCATGCTGCCGCATGGGCCGGGCAGTTTTTTGGACCTCGCGCATAGACTGCTTAGGCGGCCGCATGGGCTGGGCAGTTTTTTGGATCTCGCGCATCAATTGCTTAAGGTTACTAACGGTTCCGATATTCTTCTCCCCTGCTTGGAGCCGGTAAAGACCGACAGCCGACAGCTATAGGCTGGAGGGGCCAGTAACATCCCACACAAGCTGCTTACGAGGCCGGATGTGGCCAGCAATTTTGGACACTCGCTGTGCTTAGGCTGGATGTGGCCAGAAGTCTCTTGTGAGAAGAGCTCTAATACTACCCGTCTTCACTGTGGTTACGGCCGGATGTGGCTCGCAGTTGTGATTACTTTGGCAGTCGACAGTGACGCACCCCACCCCCGCAAAGGGTACATACTCAAGTGACTGCGGTAGGGTAAAATGGCTACAAGACCCATTAAATCGGTCTGTAGTGCCCTACTGTGTGGGCAGGCTTAAATCACCTTTGGTGCTAAAGCTGCGCGGGTATGCAGAAACCCAATTTCCTTCCTTGCCCCCACTTCACATCAGCTACCCAACCATCCAACATGAGTGCCCACTCCGGCCAAGCACAAGAAGACAGCGCACTGGTTCCATACTCCCGCATCATCACACCAGTTTTCCCCGATACATCCCGACTTCGCCTTCGTGCTTTGCGTACCTTACCGCCGCGTCTCCAGATCTTAACACACTACATATACAAGATCTTCCTGGGTGCCCAGCGAACAGGACATGGCTACTAATTCATTGCCATTCAAGGGAACCTGTTCATGCGCGTTTGCAGACACACGTTCGTCTACTAAACGATCTTGTCCCGCTATTCAATGAAAGAAGAGGCTCACTTAAGAAGGATTGGCCCCTTTTCCCGTCTCCTGACCGGCGGCCTGCAACAACCAGCGCGCCCGGCCGCACATCGGCGGGGGTTGTGCCAAAGTCATACAGCTTCGACCACTGTGGTCGTCACCAGACAGTGCTTCTTCGTCGGGCGCGATCTTATGTACGCAG